CGCTGAGCATCAATAAGATTCTTACAAGCGATAAATGCCCTCGTTAATGTGCCTTTTGCAGCCCGTCGAATATTCTTGACTTTATCTTTATCCATTTTAATACTTTAATAGCTCCAAACCACGATCAGCACGTTAAATAGACACCAAGATTTTCAGATAATGGACCGACGATAACTTGGAGCTAACATACAATAATCCAATAATACAATACACGCTTGGGATTTCAGTATTAAGATTTATTCACAAATAACAACAATCTGAAACTAAATAATAATGAAATTAAATCGGTATGTTTACATGTATTAAATTAGTACTAAATCACAAAAATGAATTAACTAAGGCTTTCTACTTACATCTGTCCTAAGCAAGTATCCTTTTCCTTTTATCTTAACATTTAACAATAATAAACCTTACTTAAAACTTTATAAACTTCATAAAACCATACGAAAACTTGTTCAAAACATTTCTACAAGCTCATCACATTTTTCCTACGAACCCTTCCGACTAAGGTCCGAGTAAACTCCGACTAACTAAAACATTAAAATAGTCTTACATGAAGTCCTTTCATCGTCAATGAAACAATGTTGAAATTTTGAAATCATTTTTAGGCAAATGTAACCTACATTATTGGAAAGCCTAAACAAAACTATATAAAGGTCAATTAAACCGTTATATTCAATTTACTGGCCAGTTTGTCGTTATTCTAGCTCAAAGTTGGAAAAATAGCGCAAAATTTGCACAAAATACAAATTTATGGCATTTTAAACTTGTATAACTTCGGCTGGATAGGCAAAAGCAAGGTAACCGTTTAATGATCTATATTTTAGTTTTTTCTAAGCTTTCCAATAATGTAGGTTACATTTTCCTAAAAATGATTTCAAAATTTCAACATTCTGTCCACAAGGGTTTTCTATAGGTAGAAGCAAGAAAAACTCGATTTTCACCATGTTCCACCGAAGGGATTTTTTTTGATTTTTAGTATGTTAATCAGAACAACTTTTCTCACACTTTACCACTGAAAACAAATCTATTGCGATTACTTTGATCAGGACCATGTACTTATAGTGATTTGACTGGACTTGGGGCACCGAGGAGAAATGGGGGTGGGTAACCAATAATTTGGTATGTAGAAAGGGTGGGTAAAGGGCAGAGGAGGTTGGACAGCTAATTAGGCGAATCTGGGCGAATCTCTCGACCAATCAGATTGCGCCATTTTCCTAATGCTCGCACGAAGCTTTTGGCATCGAAAATTTACATAGGGCTCATAAATATCGACTTTTTTCATATTGTTATGCACATTTTTTTGGAAATTTCACGCGATACTACTTTTACAATAGTGAATCTACCCATTGGAACGGTATCTTGAAAGGTAAGCGTTATTTTCCAGTTTATTTTGACCTCTCACTTTAGGCACTATACCGTCGCGATGTAATTTAATGGCGTTTCTGTCAATAATCTTTGAAGACAAAAATCTCAAATTTCCACGGTTCGATTTCGCTATTTTTTTCACGATTAGTTAAACAAAAGTATAATCTTTAATTCTATCCAGCCGGCCCCCCTCGGTCCCGCAACCGTTTTCGAGATATTCACCGTTGAATATAGCCCTCTGTAAAATATGTTGCCTTGTCACTCAGATCGATAATGAACTGCTATTACTCGCTTTTTTCTAAAGAAGTGTGATATATTATAGAAGTTTCGATATATTATGGATTGTATATATTGCAGTTAAAGTGTGCAAATAATTAAAGCCCTTCCGTAACAATATTTTACAAGTGAAATTTATTGTTTGGCTGATGTTTTAGATTTGAGATTCGTGATTTTGGCTGGATTCTATTTTTGTCAATGATTTTGTCTGCAAGAATTAAGCATCATCATTAAATTTGGAGGTAAAATCGGTCCTTCCAATCTGTACAGACCTTCTACATCTGCAAGATCTCCGATGCTATGATTGTCTCTCCATCGAGTGACCAAAACCTTGTTCACCTTTCTGGTTACGTTATTGGTATGACTTCTGGATTTTCAAAACTAACCCAGCGACAACCAGAATAACTACTCATACACCTGTTTCAAAAATGGCTGGTAAAAGTTAACCCTGGTTTAGATGCTAAATTTGTCCCTCAAAATTTTCTCCCACTTGTTGCCAAGGCTATGTCTGTACTTCATGCTGGTCAAAAAGACAATCTGATTTATCACACTGCTCGATGCTTTGGAGAACAATGCCATGGAGATGTTGGTCTGATGTCATTGGATAGAATGCCCTTTATAGGAGTGAAGGCCCACTTGGCCTTTTTTAACAGTATTTTGTAATGATGTTACACAACTAATTCAGATAAAGTTTGAGAAATGGTGGTTCTTTCAATGTTAAGCCCCAGAGAGGGGGGTGGGGTCGGGCATATGTGGGGCATTTGATTTTTTGAGCAAATTTTCAATCAAATGCCCCACTGTTAGGTAATAAATATTGGTCAAACACCCCACCATTTTGCAATAAATTGCAATAAATACTATATTAATAAAAGTCATTTTGGTTCAAATTGCCCTAACTCGGGCCCAAAATGCTAATCAAAATCCCCAGAGTGGGGATGCAATTGATGATCAAATACCCCACATATGCCCACCCCCCTCTGGTGCTTGACATTGATAGGTGCAATTATATGCAGGTTTTTTTTTTGTATTCTCATGTAATGTACGTACCACAAAGTATCAGCAGCATGTTATTGTGGGACCTTTGATCAATATGTATATAAATAGACATATTTTTGTTTTATTATTGCATTAATTTTAATGAAAAATTACTCACAAAGTTGGTCAAGTGAATGTACAAATTATTTATTTCTTCATTTAGTACAGCACATGTTACAATTATGTACTTGTCTTAATTGCATGAGTGTGCATGGCAGACATTGTTTTATTTTAATTGTGCACACCCACCCTTATGATTAACCTAGTTTTTGTGTATGAAAATCTAAAAAGTTAGCCAATTGAAATAACATCATTTCTATAACTTGCTAAACCTAGTCAGTTACAATTATGTCACAAACATCTGTCAACGTACACTCCTGCTCTTCCTTACCACTTGAGTCTCCCACTCCCTACGTCGCTTTATGAAAATTTTTTGATAATTTAAAAAAGTCAACCCTATACTTGATATGCTGAACATAGACCTCTAAGACATCTCCTGTGGCAATTAGTGTGTGCAAATACTCGCATAGTTGAGAAGCAATATAACCAATATGTGTCCATCCAGTTCCATAGTCTACATCAATTGCACTTGGGTCCATTGGATTCAATGGCTCTGGCCGTATTCTTACATTCACTGGTTTATCTTGTCCATGAAGAGCAAGGTATGCTGTTGATGTTGGTAATTTTTCTCATGAGTAGCACCGATGCACTTGAATGGTACAGCATGGGTGATTTCATCCTCGTCACTTTCATCCTCATCACTTAACTGGTCACCACTTTCTGCCCTATCACCTTCATTACCATATCCATGCTGACCAGGTTCAAGACCAGACAACCACTCAAGTAGATCTCTTTCTACAAAATCATAACAAGAAAATTTTTATTTTATTATTTTGTACATAAGCTGTAATCTCTAAAATTAGAAATCTAATGCAAAAGTGTGTCACTATTTACAGTAATATTTATAGAACAACACACAAATATGGCAATATTTTACAGATGAAAATTGAAAAATATCACTATTGTATGCACATATATGTAAAAATCTATCCACAACTAGATACAAACAGGCATTATACTTCAGCAAAAATTTATTAAACAATTTGTTTAACTCAAAGCATGAACATATGTATCACAGTGACACAGTACACAGACACACACAATAGGGTCAAAATTACAGTACAAGGTTAAAAAAACAAAGCGGATAATAATTTGACTAAATAACAAGGTAACTGTAATGCATTGTAGTATACCAACCTTAAATATTGCGCTTGTTTTCACGTTGATGATACACGGAGATTTAACGTCATCCAAGTTTATAGAAAGAAGAGCCTCGCTACTGGGAATATAAACACAATTCCTTCGCTCAGACGCATTTATCAAGCTAAAATGACAACATGTCCCATGCAAATATTTAAAAAAGGTAAACTTGGTATAGTAAAACACAAGTCATAATGATGATCGCAACAATACAGCAATAACATGCTGTTTCTTTTCACAAAGTATCGCAGCCTGACACTCTTGTCGTTCGAAAGCTTCCATATTGGTTTAGTCACAGAGATGTTCACTCCTCGACAGTCAACAGTCAATGAAGTCACGCGCGGAATTAGGCGCTCAATACCCATGATGCTTTGCGGCCTGCTGTCCAACCGGGTTGGGATAAAACGCGGATGCGGACGGACGGACGGACACGCGGACGGACACGCGGACGGACGGACAAAAGGGATAAAATGCGGATGCGGACAAAAGGGATAAAATGCGGATGCGGACAAAAAGGATAAAATGCGGATGCGGACAAAAGGGATAAAATGCGGATGCGGACAAAAGGGATAAAATGCGGATTCGGACAAAAAGGATAAAATGCGGATGCGGACAAAAAGCCTTACCCGCGATATATTTTACGGAAATCCCAATGCAAAATATATACAACAGGTATTACGAATGTAATAATAATGTAGTTATGCAAGGCGGAGGCTTTGCAGTTAATAATTGCTCCAGGTATGAACCATGCTGAATAGTCAAATTAGCGAGCTAAAGAGTAAAGAATTCATTGACCGATGACAAATAGTGACGAAGCAAATATCGTGACTTTAAATAAATTTCTATAAATGTTTACAGACGTTTAGTCAGTTAGTGTTTACTGCTAGACGTACATCCAGGCTCTAAATAGTTACTTTCAAGACGAGTTTCAAGAAAAATTAGGTAGATATTCCTATCGGTATTTACCCTATAAATCACTACTAATGTTTAAGTTGTTAATACACAACCTCGAGAAATCGGATTTTGTGCAAGGCTGCCAAGGCTGATATTGTATTTTTTTAAATATTCTGGAGGAAGCACAGTGAAGGTTAGTTTTTATAGTGAATACTATTTATCAATACTGATTACTGTTGATTTGAAGCTCGATTTTGATATACGATGTCGGTGAAACGAGGACGAAAAATCAATGGACATTGGCGGGTTTTCAAGAAAATCATTAGTTTCAAACTAGGCCGTTTCAATTTTAATAAGTTTTCGTTCCAACTGTGTCTTTAAAGGTTTGTAACTATATATTTTGAAAGCTTCAAATGCGTGTGTTTACATGCGCAGCAAGGCGAGATTTTGAAAATGTAATAGATATTTTTGAATTTCCATGGCATATTAACAACAGTTTGTTGCGAACATTTTCTCGGCGAATTTTCTACTAACCTGAATATAAATCCAACTAAAATATAGGCATTTTCCCAAGCTTTCAAACCATCCGCGTTGGGGGTGTATGTCGTTAAATTTCGAATTAATATAATATAATATAAGCGGTTGAACCTCGTGCCTAAAACCAGCCATTATATTGTCCGACTAGAATGTGTATTCCGACGGCAATTTTTACACCCTCGTTTAGGCAACGAATTCTCGCTCAATATTCTCTTGCTACAATAGTATAGCTCGTACCAAAATGTAGCTGAATTCCCCAGCTATCTGACAATATGTGTAAAATTATTGTAGCTGTAATATTCGCACAGATATAGTCGAATAAAAGTCGTATGTTTAATATGTTGCATTGAACTTTCTAATTATAATTCTGGTTTCAAGTTTTGTTTACATTGTATGATTTTGACCCCGTCGTTTAGACAACGTTTTCTCGCTCAATATTGTAGCTACAGGAATATAGCTCCCACTAAAATGTAGCTATTTTCACAAGCATTCAAACCATCTGCGGTAGGGGTGAATATCGTTAAATTTCGAATTAATATAAGCGGTTGAAACTCGTTCCTAAACCGGACATTATATTGTCCGACTAGAATGTGTATTCCGACGGCAATTTTTACACCCTCGTTTAGGCAACGTTTTCTCGCTCAATATTCTAGCTACAATATTCTAACTCGTATCAAAATGTAGCTGATTGCACCAGCTATCTGACAATATGCA